CAATGCTGGCAAAAATGACGATGACCCCCCACCGGCGTACGACTGTGTGTCATCTCACGTAGCACTGCAGGCTACAGATGAAAACGAACAACTTTAGTTGCATATTTGACCGGAACTATAGCGAGGCACATGATGAAAAAATGCGCCAAGGTGCCCTACAACTATACTCTCTGAAATTATGCGGCAACTGATTTCAACTTGTTTTTTTTTTCTAAAATTTTGTTATAATTTTCCCGGATTTTGCTAACTATTTGAATAATATAACTATTTTAAATTTGTTTTTAACAAAAAACTCTTTTCTGTAAAACAAAAAAAGAAGAAAAAAAGCCAATCAACATTTCCTTAAAAAAAGGAAATACGATACTGCAGGTAACCATACCTTGTTCTACGAACGAAAAACTAAATCTTTTGTTTGATATTAATTTCAATTTTAAAGGGAGCATGCAACATTGGCAAACATCTAAAAACAAAACTACAAAATTATTACGAAATATCGAACTGGACTGTTAGTGAATGACAGTCTTGAGCATTCTGTAAATTCATGGCACCCGGTGTGCTGACGTTTTCACGAAAAGTGTTTTTTTTGTATCAATTTCCAACGCCGACCAGTGTTGAAAAACACTGACTTTTTTTCAAATACTGCTCCCAATTTCTCATATTAAGTTAGTTTGCATTTGTTTTTTGCACTCTATTACACACCTGTAAACGGGTACAAGCTTGCTAACAGAGTCCCTGACCTTACAACCTCCCGATAGCTACACATTTTTCCGTTTCGTCTTAAGTCGGGTCAGGGAACCAGACAACAAGAACATGATTGTTTATCTTGGGTCTTAGGATGTACGACCCCGAAGCTCCATACAAGTTAGTATAACACTATTTGCTACAAAATACTAACCGAACAAATTCATCCATTTCTGAAAATTGTAGCAGAAGTAAAACATGTTGTACATTCCTTCACGTTGAACTTCCATCTGGTTAGACTTGTGTACGTAGACGTCGCATTGTGTCACTTATGATTTAAATATAAATTAGCCACGTGTGTATTTCTTATATGCAATTATGTTTTCATCTGTATGAAAATGTCCTTTTTTATCATCTACGATTTTCCCAAAATCATGCAGTGTACTGCTGTTTTTGCCTTCTTTACAATATCATGCAACTTTCTACTCTGAAATGTCTGAAATCTATTGAACATATCTTTATAATCTGTTTAAAAAAATGCATTTCTGTAAACATTTGAAATGTCACGTGCTTTTCCTCGGAATTCGATAAATACTGATTGGTAACAATGCCAAATACTCCTTATAAGCCCCAGTTGACTAATTCAAAATGTCATCGTATACGAACTATGCAAAGTGAGCCCTCTCTTGGTCATGCACGAAGCTCATAGATGAGTCTGAACACGCAATCACGGTGCACTCGATGGTGGCCACTTTCAATGGAGAATGCATTATGACGGCTATAGTACTTGGATAATTCATCACTGTGCAGTTGGTTTGAACGGTACCAAAGCTACCCCAATGCTTTTGCCATTGAAAGGGACCAGACTTTTATTTGAAATTTTTATTCAACATTGACATCCGTTTAATAGACATCTAGTAATACATGTTCACTTTTTGTTAATATGTAATCTGGTTGTTATTTGACATGATTGGTTAAGACAATGAAATTCCCTTTTTCATTGGATTGTTATCAGCAATCCATTATTTAGAGCAATTTTTGATTAACTTGTTTTAACACATGATCAACTTTTGAAATATTGTTTAATACAAGGTATTTTGTGTACCTTTCAAACGAATCTTCTTCTATTTATAATATGTACAAGGTATACTAATATTAATTGTTCTATTAAAAATTGGTCCCATCAGCCATGTTTTTGGCCGCCGACTTTGTGCTCTTGAATAATAAGCCAGAAAAGATTAATAAAATCGTCGGTTGCACAACGAACCGGTGTATCTCGATTTTTGGCCAAATTGAGTTTTTGTCATAAAGGTTTTAATTTCATCTTAATGCTCATCTTCACAAAGTTTGATTCCGATCTGAGTTCTAATTATGTTAATGCTCCTTGGTGACGTCATAGCACTATGGGAATTAGCGTGTAAAGCGGCGTATCGTAAAACGTCACTTCGTGGAGAACGATTTCAGAGTTGTTAGAGATATACACCGCAGAGTCTAATTGTGTATCTCTAACAACTCTGAAATCATTCTCCACGAAGTGACGTTTTACGATACGCCGCTTAACACGCTAATTCCCATAGTGCTATGACGTCACCAAGGAGCATTAACATGAAAAGTGTGACATTAGCGCTTCACGATCCGACGTATTCCCGTATCTGGCACACGGCCTCTATACGCGCGTTGTATGAAATACTATAAACATGAGAAAAACAATCTGTCCTACGAAGTGCACAGTGACGTGTATCTTCGGAACCGAATTTCTTAAAACCTAATCAACTCAGATACACACGGATTGCATACAGTAAAGTTTAATCTATATGTTACCAAGTGGTTATTTCAAATGGGCTAAGGTGAAACTAAAATGTACGAAAATATAGCGGTAGATTTAATTCGAATTGTCAACTGGGTCGAGAATAAATTATGTGTATGCAAGGATTACCCGAATGAAAATGTGTTGCTCAGAAAATCCACAATAAGTACTAGAAAAAAAACGGCAATCAGAACTAGAAAATAACGACAATCAGTACTAGAAAATAACCACAATCAGTAGTAGAAAAAAACCAAGAAAAGTAGTGTTAAAAAACACAAATGCCCCGCAACCATGCCTATTTCCATGACATAACACCACTCTATTAACATCAACTTATCTGGGTCACATGGAACGTTCATTGACATCGTTATTGTTTTCTTTAGGTTATATGTGTAATGTATTGATGCCTATGATCCCCAAATGAATTTTGGTTTCTTGCTTTTCTGTTGGGAATTAAGTCATTGTATGTGATTCAAGCAAACTGACTGGACATTTTCAGTCTTAAGCAAGACATTTCTCAAAGGCAAATCTTTTGAGCATAATACTTTGAGCATTTACAAGACCTACAGAAGTTGCTCCCAGATCGCACCACAGAGGATGTAGAATCAATTTTTTTTGGGACCTTTAAACGGACCCTCGAACCCCATGCTGTTAGGCTTGTCGCTCATATTAGGGAGGTTTCGCAAGCGAACGGATACGCTTACACTTACGCTTAGCTATCCGTATCCGTTTTTTACTTACGTGTAGCGAGCGAGATATGCGTGCCGTCTGCACGTTTAGCGGATAGTGAGTTGCGTATGACGTCATACGTGCAGACGACACGCATATCTCGCTCGCTACACGTAAGTAAAAAACGGATACGGATAGCTAAACGTAAATGTAGGCGTATCCGTTCGCTTGCGAAACCTCCCTATTAGTTCTCATCAAGATACACACATACCATCCGATCCCCACTTTTGAGACGCGATCGACCCCCTTGGTGCCAACAGGCTTTTAGATGTAGGACCTATACCACTTTGCCCTGGCTTGATTTGTGCAGTGTTTTTTTTAGTTTATTTGCATAAGTTTTGTGCCGTTGCCAAGAATGGTGTAGGGCCTAACGGAACACATGGTGCCTAGGGCCTACGAAACACTCAACCCGGGCCTGCCAGTTCCTCTTTAATTTCTGGGAAATAAAACCTTTATGTGCGAATGATAATTCGTGGATTCGTGGAAGTACTTCCTACTAAGCAGGTGCAATTTTAGCTCAGAAACGTCGCTGATGGGGTAAAGTCTTGATTGTTACCCTGTCGGCGGTGCTACGTGCATTTAACCATGGAGGAACTTGGAAACTTCATTTTGACCGCTGGTTTTCGGCTTTATTCTGTTATAAGATTCTTCTTCAAAATACAATGAGACGGACCTACCTGAAATATTGATTTATGCTTCGGGAAAATTTGAGTTATCTATCCATTTATAAGATTGTCAATATGATGTAACTTAGTGAGAGTCACTCGCGCACAACACACACTATTTAGGCCGCTATGTTTGTTTGGATCATTTGCCTCGCTATGATTTTCAAGATGGCGTGCACTGATAAAGCAGCCTCGACTCCATGGACTAACTTCACTAACCCCTGGCCGTGATGTACACATAAACGATGCTGACTGGCTATTCAGAGCGTACTGCGCGCGCATTTCGAAGATTGCACGCCGGGCGCGCCCATAATGCGCTCGCGTGCTTTGAACGTCACGTCACGTTCGAAAATTGTTTGTTATTCTAAACTTGCGATGCCTGTACGATATGGATTATGGCAGCCTCGTTTTTCGCTAAAAAAACATTGTTTCTTCGGTTGTAAAGTGACGAAAGGGGTACATACATTTAATAGAAATCTTTGCTAAATAACGCAACGTCTAAACCTTTTATGTTGGAAAGGATTGATTCTTCAAATCACAACTTTCAACATTTTAAAGATGGCGACAGCACCTAAAACGGATAAACTGCAGCCTAATTATAATGTGCCATATTTTGACACATTTAAATTACACAATTCCAGGGGTTGAGATCGCGCAAAGCATGATGGGAAACAACATGGCGCAGCAAGATCTCGTACCCATGGGAACAAGGATGCTGATAAAGGTCTTTTGCTGCGTTCCCTTTCTTTTCATATGTGGCGCCATGTAGAGCGCCACATATTGTTCAATAAAGTCAATGATCATCTGTTTTGAAAAGCGTATTGTGGAAAGATGGTGTCTAGCCACTCCCTTCCCCTCTTTCATATTACGGAGGCGGGTGAGCGGTGACCACCCCCCCCCCTCGCCAAAAGGCTACTTTTAGGAACGGATGATAATGGTGACGCTCAAAATACCCTTGTTTAACGTCAACTCCAATCAGATGACCTTTGAACGCCATTGCTAAAATCTTCATTGAGGTACTACGCTGTTTTTTTCTCTTGGAGTAGCCTACGTCAATCGCTTTCGAGGCCAAATTCCACATTATTTTGTGTCCGCCTCGAAATAACATGGCTTCCAAAATGGCGTCCGTGACGTTCGCAGTAATACTGCTGGGTTTATGTGCTCGGATCTGCGAATGCTCACAGTTGGATGCAGAAGGTAAGTCGAGGAATATTATACTGATTACTGAAGCACATTTCCACATTACAGATTCATGGGTTCTATCCAAAACGGGAGCCCCCCAAAATGGTGTTAAATTTATGAACTTGAACACTGACAGAGGGTTGCTTATCTCGTGACTGCATGCATAGTCGACCTGACAGAAGACAATAATCATCCTTTAAAGTCGGAACATCATGGATTGTTCTTCCCCGAGTGTCAAACTCGGGATCATTGCAGGGCAGAAGTCGAAATGTAAACAATCAACATGTAATATTGGAGCGTGAATCTCCTTGCTTCGCGTAAAAAAAAACCCCACGAAGATGCATGTTCACACGTATTTCCAAACAAACAAACATACATACTGAGCTGAAATTATTATAGAATATAACCTGCTCTATGGTTATGTGTTATTTCCTGAATCGGCAAAAATGCATTTTAGGTTTTAGCAAACTGTGACACTTGTCAAAATGAAATGGCCCACAAAGTTTGTGTGGATGTGACATGCTCGGACAGATTGTGTTCGCATAAGATTATTTTTTTTCTAATGAAATCGTGCTCGGTCATGCATAAACGGAGGGTGCAAGGATGCCACCAATAGAAAGCTGATTTATAGCCATACATGATCATATCGTCACCGACACCACGAGCTGACACCCCCTGCATCACATGTGTACACAAAAAATTAAAAATTCAAATTTTCTTTTTTTGCCGATATTAGCAGTTTGTTTCATGAAGTTTTACATGACGAAGTTAAAATCGCTAAAACCATCAAAAATAAGCAAATTTTAATAATGAATTTTCTAGAAATGGGTCAATTCTTGTATTTTTTGTTACCACGAAGTGACTCTGCACAGGTTGTCAGTTCGTGAAAACCAAATTGTGCGTGTTTTCGGAGAGTGCACGCATGCAATAGCGTTAGAGAGTGTCAGTTCGTGAAAAGGAGAATTGACGTGCTTTAGGAGAGTGCGCGCACGCATGCGCAGTGTGTGCGCACACTCTCCCAAAATACATAAATTTTCGTTTTCACGAACTGACACCCATAGTCTTAAGAAGCCTAATACCTTTGGGGCCAACAGGTCAAAAGTCAAGGTCAATGTTACTAAAACAATGGAAATATTGTCAGCACGATTGCTTGAGATAAACTTTACTGAGGAACTTCAAATTTGGTTTGTATATGTTGCTCTTGGTAGTCTTATAAAGCCTATTGATTTGGGGCCGACAGGTCAAAGGTCAAGGTCACTATTGCTAAAGCAATTTTCCACTTTGGTTAGGGACACTGACTTTATTAAGAACTTCCAGAATGCCAGGGGGATTGCGCAAGTCTCACTTGCAGTATTTTTTTGTGTTTTGATCTTATTTGTGCAGTGTGGGGGCTTTTCGTGACCAAGACCCCTTCGGGACCAGTTCTAGAGGGTGATGAAGTCACGCTCACCTGTGCCTTTGACAGTGGCATTTTGGGATTTATTGAATGGCGGCACAGTCTGGATCGGGAAACATCGACCACTCTCACCGAGCCGACGCACACTACGGACAACACCGACTTGACCTTGAAGGGCATGTTCAGGAACCAGTCTGGTTGGTACCGATGTGCTGGGAACAGGTTCTTGGCAGACCCTTGGAACCCGAATCAGTTGTCTGATTGGACTGCTGTTGTGACCTACTGTGAGTAAATGACCATCTCCCCACTGCATCCACACCTAGACACCTACATTAAGGGTAGTCTTTTTGCTACTGCTAGTCTAGACCTATAAATTCCATTGTTTTTCTTCTATATTCATTGAAAGCGCAAGCTCAATAACCTTGTTCTTTAGGGATACCGAGACCCACTTGCAAGGTCCCAGTGTCTCGAGAGAGTATTTATGCTTTTCTTCAGACTTTGATCTCCTATTGTCCCTGTATTTTTTTTTTACTATCCACATTGAGATTGTACACGCCTAACATGGTAGACCTTTGCTAAACCGTGGACCATGTGGTCCTTTATGGCATGGTTCTATTTTTGATGCGCTCAGTTTCTCACATACACGCAAGTGTGCGTGTGAGATCCCTCGATTTTTTTTCACCTCCTAACGTGTTCCAGTATACTTTGGGAAGAACCGTTTTGTAAAGGATTTACAATTGAGGGCCTAACCCGTTGGTGGACCTTACTTGTTCTATTTTCCACCTCTTTTGTGTGTGACACAGATGGCCCTGAAATCAGCAATAAAGAAAGAACCTGGATTGGTGCGAACGACAACCAAACTGCAACCTTAGAGTGCATCATACAAGGCAATCCCCTCCCCAATGTCACTTGGTACGGTCCAAACGACACCATTATAACCGACGACACATTCCCTGACCGGATTTCACTGGAAGATACCATTTCCGGAGATGGGGTGTTTGGATATCATATCGTTAGTCGGATGGTCTTCGGTCCAGTGGAGAACAGCACGGATTATGGGATGTACAGGTGTAGGGCTGCCAGCAGCATCGGTACATTTGACGAGCATGAGATACAGCTGAAAGAAACGGGTAAATCTCTCTTTTGCTCATAGCTGAATCGGTTTCGGCTACAAAAACTTATTCTTGTTTTCCGAGGGTAAGACTAGAACTGGTCAAATTGCACGTTGTGGGTAAAAACTTTACATATAAATACGGGGTGAGTGAAAAAAAAAATCGAAATCCAAATGTTGGGATTATTGTTTAGTGAAGTTCTGCATGTAGCACTTTCAAAATCTAGAATATTAAAGTCCAATTCGTAAGCGTTCTTTTAGTACAAGAATCATTCAAATCACTTATGTACTTTGTAAGTTACGGACGTTTAAACACAACGACCGTCTTAAAGTTCTGACCACGGATCACAAAAAGGTGTGCGTTCTTTCAGCAAAACAAAAACAATTCACATACATCCCTTACTGATTTGTTTTCATTTTGTTGAAGAACACTTCCCCTTTTGTGATCTGTGGACAGAACTTTAAAATGGTGGTTGTGTTTAAAACCCTCTGTCGAGGGTCCATGAGATGAATTTCACTTTGTAACATATTAATTTTGTGCAACTTTACACCGTTATTTAATGTATAAATACTATTTGAGGCACTTTTTTGGTTAATTTATTGAAAAGCGTACTTATAATTCTTCAACCAAGGACACTGGTGCTGTAATGTCATTTCAGGAAACAATAGTTCAGTGTAAGGGTATTCTGTTCTGATTGTACAAGCCCCAAAATTGCTCATTGAAAACATTTGTGAGAAATTTGTGCTCATTTTCTTACTGCTGCCATGTACAGACAATACGACGAATCACCAGAAGAAAGAGCAACTTGTGTAACTGAAAAACGTTAACATTGATATTTATGCCTGAAATGACATAACACATTTGCTCATGGATATGGTCATTTGCATTAGCATAAAACCAAAAAGACATCAAAATATCTCTAACATGGCCAAAAAAAAGAGAGACTAATTGTGTATTCTATTTTTATGTGTAAATCTAGGAAATCCTGAACCCCCAAAGGGACTTCAGGTAGATCACGCAACGGCCGACCATCTCTGGGTCAAATGGAAGCCGGGATACGACGGAGGCGAGAAGTTAGAGCATTTGTTTTCCAACATTCGCAACATTCCAGAAGAGTTTGATCCACTTGCCTGGATCTCAATTTGGCCTTATTCTGTTTCGGAATCTTACTATGACCTCCAACCAGACACTCTCTACCAAGTAGCAGTGTATGCAACCAACAAGCATGGCTCCAGTCCTTATGCGACTCTGATTGTGCGCACAATCCGTGAGTAGCCATAAGTCCACAATGGGAAAGGTCACTGGTTGCTTTTTATTTTATCATAGAGGACCCGGCTTCGGATATGTGTTTAAATTGCAATAATCACACAATTGTTCAGTAGATGAAATATATTCTGGATGTTCTGTATTTATTTGTGATATACCCGTAGAGGTTCAGATAAATGCAACCCCAACCCAACTTAACCTAACCCAACCCAACCCAACCCAACCCAACCCAACCCAACCCAACCCAACCCAACCCAACCCAACCCAACCCAACCCAACCCAACCCAACCCAACCCAACCCAATCCAACCCAACCCAACCCAACCTAACCCAACCCAACCCACTGAACCCCACCCAACCCAACCCAACCCAACCCACCCAACCCAACCCAACCCAACCCACCTTAACCCAACCCAACCCAACCCAACCCACCTTAACCCAACCCAACCCAACCCACCCAACCCAACCCAACCCAACCCAACCCAACCCAACCCAACCCAACCCAACCCAACCCAACCCAACCCAACCCAACCCAACCCAACCCAACCCAACCCAACCCAACCCATCCAACCCAACCCAACCCAACCCAACCCAACCCAACCCAACCCAACCCAACCCAACCCAACCCAACCCAACCCAACCCAACCCAACCCAACCCAACCCAACCCAACCCAACCCAACCCAACCCAACCCAACCCACGCACACTATGAAAACTCTTCCAACCCAAATGTTTTCTATGATTCCCTTTAGTTTTCTCTTCATTTTGCCACTGTTAAACCTAACCCCCCAATGCCTCTAAACCTGTTTTCAAGAGAAGGGGAAACATTGTGTGGACGTGGGCAAGTCCACACAACGTCGCTGCTATACCTGGTTTATGTGGACTTCTTTTGTTCGGAAGTCCACAGAGAATGTAATGCTCATACACCCATACATGCATGTGTATACGCACACATAAATGTTTAAACAGTGCCCCTAGGGTCAGTTTGGGTGAGGACACGACCCCCATCCCCTCCCCAAAACATGTTTTTTTTTTCGAATGTACCAAACGTTTTGCCATCAGCTGTAAACGAATGCAATCTGCTACTGAGCTTCAAGCTTACGTACATTTTTTCTTCCATTTTGTGACGTTGCAGCCGGATATCCGGATGAAATGGGTAAGTGTTTGATCTCAGTGCTTGTCTTTTTTGTGTGCGAGTACGCGATCCACTCAAATTTCAGACACAACACTTTTAAACTAATAATGTAAGATGTTATTATTATTACGGAAACTGGTACCTCAGAGAAACATTCGCATAGACTTGGACATAATTGCATAGGGTCCCTTTTTATAAATAATTAATGAAAACAATAAATTTACAATTTGAAAAAAAAAATACTCTGTTAAAGTGAAGTGAGAATATTTTACTTTAGCGCTTGAATGTCAAGAGATGTAGATTAAAACATTTTCCAAATTAACGTTTTCATTATAACTGCTTACTCGGATCTCTCAGGTATAACAGTGTCATACATCCAGGCACAAGGTAAGTTTGTCATCGTCGGTATACCGGAAGACGACGACGCCGGAACCTGCCTACGACTTGAGGTACATGACGAAGCTCAAGGGGAATGGGTGAGTCTGAGGCCAGACCTGGACTGCATTCAGCATGACGGGGACTTCCTGTACTCCGGCCCCTATCCCACAGACCACTTCCGCTATCTATACTGTCGGGACGACGTGTGCGGTCACTGGTCTTATGTTACTGTTGGTAAGCTATGATGTGCGTCTGTGTACACATGTCTATTGGGAACACCTTAAAACTTCTTTTCTAATCGCGGACATGTAGGCCTACACAAGTGAGAACAGTCCTCAATTGGCAATATGTATGAAAACCAATGCTTATTTTCAGAACAAATTCTTTAATACCTTCTTCCACCGAGAGTGATTATGTACAGCAAAGTTTACCTGAGAAACAAATAAATAATTACTTTGAAGTCAATTGTAATGATAATTCTATGGCAAATTACACCGATCAGTAGTAGCGGGGGCTGAACAATGTTACACCTTTGGATGCCACAATAATGGAATGGCCCTACAGTCACATTAAATCTACTCATTCTCTCCACTTTCATTCACAAACTGTTTCCATGTACCAAAGTCACACCGACAGTCACTCCACAGCCCACCCGTCCCACGGTTGCCACAGGTGATGATACGGTGATCATAGCTGTGTGCGTGGCTGCGGCCATTTTTCTCCTGCTAGTGGCCATTGCATTTTGTTACAAACGCAAGTGCTGCAGCGGTAAACCTCAAGGTAAGCTTAATGAAATGAAAAATACACTTCGTAGTCGTCAAATATTGAAATGAAATTATATAGCGCATGTGCTGACCATCACTGAAATAGTTTTAGTATACATATTTTCTTTTTCGAGGATTCATTATTCATAAAGTTCGACTCGGAATCCAAAAGTTGGGGAGTGTTTCTCTATTCGAAAAATGTATCGACAGTTATAAATGAATCTTTCCAATGTACATTGTGCAGAAAGATAAGCCAGCACACAATTTCGGACAAAAGAAAGAAGACAGTTATTGAGGTAGACAAATTTATTCTGGATCACACGCAACTTTGTGAATCCAAATTGTTATTGGAACATTTTATCTGTTCTTGTGTTATAGATGAAGTGGGGAGGACTGCGCTACAACCAAATTCGTAAGTAATGAAATGCCGTTTTATTCGCATGGGCAATTAAGTAAAGATTATTTAAAACAGATACAGTGTCTACCACACGAACAATACATGATAATTAGTATATTGATTAAAACGTGGCACAGAATACGGTATGGTTTAATTGGAAACCCTAACCCCCTTACCCCCCCCCCCCCCCCAATGAATCGCCACTGATCAGGTATAATCAATGGGAGGAAGGGGTACTTGCTTTGGTTGGCTTCTTTATTAATTGATGTTAGGGTCCAGATACTTGAGCATTGTGTCGTTTTCACTCTTGTTAAATCAGGACAGTTGAGGAATTCAACCCTTCGTACGACCCGCCTCCAACCTACGTGCAAGCAGTTGGTAAGAAGTGCCTCTTGGCCAGCAAAATCGACCCACTTTCGCCTCTTATGTCTTTAATACATCGGTTAACAAGGGAATACATGTGTGCTTGGCAGATTTGAAACACTATGTTTAAGACCAGTTTGGAAACTGGACGCTGATAATGACTCGCGTCTTAAACATAGTGTATAAAACTGGCCATTTATTTCCATCGATCAATGCACTTCTATTCAAAGTGTAAAAACAAGTAAAACAATATAAATTTCCAACGATTTTGTTCAAGAATTTTACTTCATTTTTTTCAGAAACATCCCTCTAGCTATGTAATGGTATTTTCCTCTAGCGCGTAGTCCTAAACAACTCCTTATATGGAGATTGGCGCGCGCTTGACGCGCGCTGCGCGATGTGGCGCAGAACGTAGCTATGCCAGTGTAGTGTGAATGTAATTCTTAGCACTTTGAAATACTGACTCATTGCTTGTATTGCGAGTGCCTAATTGAAGACTGTATGTTCATCAACCGATAAAAGTGTAAAAGGGACCAGATTTTATGGGAGTCAAAATTTCATGTGGCAATTGAAAAGCCAGTCGGTGTTTTATCAACCGCTTAAGACCAGTCACGCAACAGGCTCTCCACCAATAGGAATGGGCAGTGTTGGAGGTCTCTAGGCCGGCCTCGGCCTCGAGGCCGATTTTCATGGCCTCGGCCTCGACCTTGGCCTCGGAGGTGCATGCAAGGCCTCGGCCTCGGAGCCTTCCGGCCTCGGCGAATCGGTCGAGGCCGGCTCGAGGCCACTTATTTTGATGTGTTTTCTATTCTAATTAATTTAAAATTTTTACCGTATCAAACCCTCGAGATTCTGCCGCAGTGGGTTCCGTGAAACGAACGCATATACAATGAACCTGAAATGGTTGCATTGAACGTACTCACTGTACGTAGCATCTTCGCCTAGCCTGCGCTTCAGCTTTCCACGCGCGTGCAGGCGTTATAACTGTTACCGCGTGCCAGACTACATAAGTCTGGCACCAATCTCATTTGCGTACAATAACATGTGGTAGTAGACTAGTCTGGTTGCAGTGTTGTACACAATTTTCTCGTTTCGCCTCTGTACCCCGACCTTTAAAAACGATTTGCGGCAAGGTGCGGCAAGCTTAATCATAACTTTTTATAGGCCACTGTTTCAGTAAAAGTCTGAACTTCCTGGGTATGATCGAGTGTACTAGTTCTCGCCATTTTTTTTCTTATAAAGATATGATAAAAACAATCACGATTTATCAAGTAGATTTTATTTTTACACTGTGATTTAAATGAAAGTTCCGGCTCACACGGTAATGTTTGGCGCAAATGGTCGATATGGAAAGCGCGATTTCAGAATTCGTTTTTCCATCCAAATAGAATGCAAAGTTCTGAATGAATGTTTTAATAATAGGAGTCAGTATTCCTCGTGGTACCAGGATCTTTTTTTTGGTACTTTTAGAGCCATGTTGATACTTATTACATGTATAAGCACGGTTTGAAATTGACTAATTTTGCGTGGTTATAGATATACGGCCAAAACCTCTGGACTCCCTACCTCTTGCCATGATCTTAAAATTCTTCGAAGCCATTGGATTCAAATCGGATGATCCGAGAATTCATGGTCATTTTGATGAACTGAGTGATATCATGCACGCATGTTCCGTGTTGCCGTGTTGTTTGGAGCGGGATTGGCCATTGTCACACTTTGTCTGGTACCGCGGTATTAACAGTGATAATGCGTGGACACTTATCCCGTTGTGTGGAGCGGGATTGGAACTATGCTTTGCCCGTGCGTAGCGGCGGGCCGTCTGGCATTGTCTGGTCGCATCGAGGTGTTTGCTCGGCGCGTGCCTGGACAGTGCGAAGGTCAGGGGGGGGGGGGTGTCGTAACTTTTTGGTTATGAGTGGTAAAAACCTGATTCTAAAATCAAGTTGTTGTTTATTTAATGGGGATTCCTATGATATTAAGCATTTTGATAGGTTTTGAAAATAAGATTTATAAAACATGCTAAAAGTAAATGATGTAAATCTTACAGAATAGAAACTCAAAATGCTGTCTAGTTTCCTACAATCATAATGAACGGGCTTGCCTAAATAACTGATCCAGCTTTTCTCAATTTTCACTTTTGGAATGCAGAACTGGAAGCCGAAAATAACGATGACCCCCCACCGGCGTACGATTGTGTGCCATCTCACGAAGCCCCGCAGGTTACGGATGAAAACGAAGAGCAAGTCTAGTTGCCTATTTGACCGTACATGGAGCAAGGGAGACACATATGACAAAATGCAGATGTTACCCTAGGGCGTCTTACACCTACACTCTTTGAAATACTGTGGTTATTGATTTCAAATTTGGTTTTCTCTCACATTTTCAATCATTTGCCTGGATTGTCTAACCGTTTTGAATAATTGAACTATTTCCCATGCGTTTGTATACAATTTTTCTCCAAAAACTACAACAAAAACCAAAACAAAAAATCCACGATTCAATATTTCCTGAAAAAGGAAGGAAATACGACCACAAATTGTTTCTACGAATGTCTGATTATTTTTTTTAATTAAAGTTTAATTTTTACTTCATATTAAACTTACATTTGGATGTGCTTTTGCATGTAGACGTTGTGTAACTTGCGATTTACGTAATAGATTAGGGACGTGTCTTTCTTCTTGATTCGCATTGCATTGTAAATATAATATGTATTACCGAGACTCCATCTCGATTCATTTACATTTAGACCAGTGGTCTTTTTTGATAAATACCGATTGATAGCATTATCACATGCTTACTTGCAAGTCCCATTTGACAAATTCACAATTTCATCTTATGAACAATGCGAAGTGAGCCCTCTTTTGGTCATGCACGGATCTCATAGACCAGTCTGAATACACCTTCACTGTGCACTCAAGAAGGCCCCCTTCAATGGCGGTCTCATTGTGACAGCTATTGCTTAGATAATTCGTCACGGGGCAGTTGCTTTGAACAAAAGCTAGCCAAATGCTCTTGCCATTGAAGGGGGCCCCAGACATTGTATTTAATTTGGTTTAACACTAACATTCGTTTGATACAAATTTAATATATACAGTGTATTTTGACATGTTTGGTTAAGTTATGACAATTTAATTTGCCCTTTATATTGGATTGATCCCCTGTCCAATGTTAAAGCAATGTTTGATTAACTTGTTTTACATTAATATGATTAACTTCTTTTGCGTATAATACATGTATATATGAGAAAAATTAAAATTGTTATATTAAAAGCGGTCTCGTCAGATTCCCAACACCACTCCTCCATTTGTGTTATCTTTTGCGTTGGAAATATGTTGTATTCATTCTACAGTGTTTCTTGTAAGGGGGGGGGGCGATTTGGACTCATATGCGGTAGCCCTTTTAGTATTGATGAATTATTAACTAACATGTGGAAGGTTATCTAAGAGACAGCTTAAAACTGGACTTGTTTAACTGGACAAACTGGTACAAGGTACCACGCAGAACGAGTACACAAGGCTTTTCAATTGGACTCATTAATTGACTGTGCTGATAACAGTTCGTTGGGAAGAATAAGTCACTGCCAGCTCAAACGCACTGTATCACGTCTACCCCAATCAACTTGACCTTTATACGCCACTGTTAAATTCGTCCCTAAGATACTAGCACATAGGTTGTTCTGTTTCTCTTTGGAGTAGCCTACGTCAATCGCTTTCGAGTCCAAATTCCACATTATTTTGTGTCTGCCTCGAAATAACATGGCTTCCAAAATGGCGTCCGTGACGTATGCAGTAATACTGCTGGGATTATGTGCTCGGATCTGCGACTGCTCACAGTCAGATGCGCACGGTAAGTCGCGGAGGATTATTACTGATTACTGGAGCACATTTTCCACATTAAAGATACACGGGTTGTATCCGAAACGGGATCCGAAAATGGTGTTAGTAAATTTATGAACTTGAGCACTGTCAGCGGGGTTGTACATCTCGTGAACTGACCCCTGCATTTACAGTCGACTGGGTACCCTTTGATGTCAATACAAAAGGCAATAATCACCATGCAAAGTACGTAGGCTGATTGTCAGCAGTGGGGTAAAGTGTTTTAAAATGCAGCATGTTGTTTTCTGTGTGTAATGTACAAGGTAATTGAAAAACAAAATGTCATGAATTTTTGGTCCCAAGTGTCAAACTGAAGTCGAAAGGTAAACAATCAACATGATTATAATCGGAGCGTGAATTACTTTGCTTCGAGTAAAAAACCCACTGCAGTCGCAATTTCCACACACTTTTCTAGAGAAATACATACCGAGCTGAAATTATGATAATAATAATCTGCTTATTTGGCGAGATAGGACAGATCTATTCTAAGCTGCATTCGTTTTTTAAATTTTGTTTTGGCTTTTATTAAGTCTCCTCGCTATGCTCAAGCATACTCAATGTAAACTTGGCAACTTTTTGGAATTTTGCTCGCACAAAACCTGTTCTTCCTTGCTATTTTCTTAGCCAGAAAACCACCTCTTTTTAAGGCGGCCAAACTCCATTCCATTTAACACTTAAAATGTAGTGGCGACATGTATAATTACGCCCTTTCCTATTCAACACAAAAACCTTAAAGGATTTTCGATGCCTTTTCCTCTAGCATTGGCGGCATTCCCTTTCCAACGGCTTGACATGAAAACCGTTTTCAAACAACCGGTTCATTCAGATATTAAAAAGAATGAAATTAAAGTTGTCTTTTCACAAGCCTATCATTTACTTGAGCACCAAAGAGTTATTACCAACGGCTATACATTAGGTTCGAGGCTAAAATTCGTTTTCATTTCAGCATTAGTGAATAATTGATTCGGTTTTGGAGAGAATTCTCAACCCGCCCAGAACCCTTGACGACGGGCAGAGCATACTGCCTGAAACGTTGACTGTTCAACAGGTTTGGATTAAAGGTATATGTTGCACCATATTGCAGCTATCCAAAAAAGTGACCCACCAAATTAGTATTTTCTTAGTTTACAGATAAATCACTAAACTCGCCTTGAAATTATTCCTTTTGGCATGCTGTCAAAAACCAACATAAAATAAAGTCATTTCCAAAACCATGTCGACTGACACATTTTTGAAATTTGCGTTTGTAGTTGGTTTGTTATTAGGTTAACCCTAAAAGGGCAGGGCTTCTCGACTTTTTCCGCGATACCCATTACAATTTTTTTTTCGCGACCCAAGCTTGTATGACTTTTTAGCTTTGAGCTTTGCGCATCTTTTGACACCAAAAACATAAAAATCGGACGAGGGGTTGTCCCGGCGCTATGCGCCGGGAAAACTAAATTTTCCCATATACGTCGTGTACACAGACCAGAATTGCCATTCATACATATGAATAATTAATTAGCCATAATTCCAAAACCCTTTAACCTTTGGTCATGAAATTTCTTGGGTATGTTAATGAAGAGTTGCTCTATGCATGTATTGAGTTTCAAAATCGTTTGTCACTCGATGGCCGAGATCTTGGGGGGGGGGGGGGGCGGATTCCGCCCGGCTGAGAGATGGTCAAAATAACCCGGCCCCTTTAGGATTAATCCATACATACTGAAATGTGTATCTTGTGTAGTCATTTCTTTGTTGTACTAAAGTATTGAAGTTTGAACGTGTACTTTCAAAATGCTCCTTTTTTAACCAGAACGAATTTCTTGGGCTGACATTTGGACTTAATTAATATCCCTTACGGAAAATACTTCAATTTGCGACTGATCAACACACCTTGGAAATTCCTTATGTTTGAGTAATGATCAATATATCTATTTCGTGATAACCTTGTGGAGACGACCGTGGTCACCTATACAAATTGCCCTGTTGAGACGTACATTACCTTTTGTTTCCTATTGTGCACATGTCTCCAGAGGGTACCATGTAACAGGTCGTGTATGGGAGTCAGCCTGACACCACGCACACGCGCGCGCCGTTGCTATTATACTTCGATACAGTTTGGGACATCACGTAGCTACAATCGGCTGAATGAGAAATATCTCAAAATTTAATATTGATCTTAGGATTGTGCCACGAAAGGGCGCAACTCAAGATAAGGCTCGGCAACATTTGAATAGAAACGAAGATCCGAAATATTGTGGTCTTTACCCCAAATACAGACGTGAATATCAAATATCAAATATTGAACTAACGTATTATGAACACCTTTATAGTGAGAGAACACGTAAATTATTGTTTGTGTTTCTCACACAGATTGGAGACTCTCGGTGACCAAATATCCATGGGGCGACATTCTGGAGGGCAGTGACGTCACTTTCACATGCACCATTGTCTCCAGCAACCCAGATTTGTTTGTGTGGATTGAGTGGCAGCACCTTCTTTCTGAGGAAACCACCACTCTCACCGAACCGACATACGTAACGGGCAGCGACACTTTGACCCTTACGGGGGTGTCTGGGAACCAGGCCGGCAGTTACCAGTGTGCAGGAAGCAACTCCTTGTCACCAGCCTATTGGAATCCCACTACATTTTCTGGTTGGGGTCGTTTATCGCTTATCTGTGAGTACACACAAAACACTCATACACTGTACATGGCCGGTCTGATTATACACAAGTTATACACAACATTTGTCCTTATTTTGTTAGCAATCGGTAACACATACGTGAACTGGTGGATATTAAAAACAAAGAAATGAGCTTCATCTAGATTCATGTGGTGTACGTCTTTCTCAAATTCATTGGTCCCTCGATCGTTGTTTGTACTCAGTCTGAACTACAACTGGTGGACATAAACAAATTCACATTTCATTTGTGAAAGCAAGTATAAATTCTTTGTCTTAACTGAATTTTTTTTTTAAGTTAGTGCGTCTTTGAGAACTGGGAATGATGTTTTATCTCGAATTTCTTTCTTTATACCTTGCCAGATCGCCCCGTCATTATGAACAAAGATAGGACGTGGATTGGTGCCAACAACAACTACACGACGACCTTAGAATGCATCATCCGAAGCGATCCCCGCCCTGCAGTCACTTGGTACGGTCCAAACGGCGCCAATATAACCGAAGACACGGACCCCGACCGAGTCTCACTTGGAGAATATCTTTATTACGATTCTTCTTTCGGGTTTAGATTCCACAATAAGCTGACAATCAATCCAGTGAATTCCAGCACTGATTACGGGATGTACAGGTGTAGGGCTTCCAACGGCATCGGTACATTTGTCGACCATGAAATCGAGTTGAAAGAAACAGGTACATTCAGTTACAATGTTCCGTTATCGGCATATATTGAAGTCTTGAAGATAGATGATTTAATAGATAGGGGCAATGAGTGTCCTATGCGGATTCACAAAGCAAAGCGAAACTGCACGAAAAGCTATCAAATAACAATCGCACATAACCTTTTTTCAAGAAAACAAAACCGGTTGGATAAAAAAATAGTTTTGATTCAAACATTGAGGGAATTGTTTAGTACTTTGTCAAAGATGTTGCTTTTGTGTCAGAGGAGATTTTAAAGGAGCCGAAATATTTCACTTATATTCAAACTAATGAATCCAGAGCCGTATTTTCCGGGGCAAATTCGTCGCAGGCCGGCTTTTGCAAATTCAAACACCCGGATGGAGGAAGGCTATAAACCATTCCATAATAGGGTGCGCTCTTTTCCCCTTATCTTTTCCTTTCAACAATTAATTCATGACTCTTTAGAAAAGATGTGGACAATATTATTCATTTAAACAAGTGGTCATTACTCATCTTTTTTTTATAGATATTCAGTCGAAAACGACGTCTTTGTTCCTCCCCGGAGCTTTCCTTTTTTTATTTAAAATTTAAAATTTGTTTTTCAGGACCGCCTGAGGCGCCAAAGGACCTCAAAATATCTAACGACGGCGCACTAACTGAGGATACCATCGTGTTCAACTGGGAGCCAGGCTATGACGGGGGTGAGGAATTGGAGTCCTATTACATGAACATTCGCGGGATTCCGGGAGATTTCAATGCATCGAACTGGATCCAACTTGGGCCAAAGGAGCGGTATTGGGCGTATACTGACCTCCAGCCGGACACTCTTTACCAAATAACAGGGTATGCCAGGAACATACTCGGCCCCAGTCCAAACACGACTCTGGACGTCCGCACGACGCGTAAGTATCGATATCAATGTTGCCGTTATGCGTTCGATCTTCATGGATGAATTGACTCACGCTATCAGGCCCTATAGTCAATTTTCAAGAATTTCAGTCAGCAATTGCTTCGTTGCAGGATTTAAAAGCGAGTATTTGGTTCGGAATGATTTAGAATAGCACACAAACGCCTGATAATGGTCGTTTTAATTCTTTTGTTTAGTGTGAAAGACGATGACGATAGAACGATTGTTGGTATAACTTAACCACACCTACGACACCGGGATTGTGTTTTAACTTATATTAATTTGTGGGCTTCATTCGACAATGTTTCTGTCTTTACATTTCCCCCTTTTATTTTTTTGTTATATTTTAGCCACTTCACCGAGTGACTTAGGTAAGTTTTTTCAATGTATCTCATTCACCTGTTTTGATTTGTTTTTAGCTGTACTTGCCCAAACACCCTTTGTCTTCCTGAACCTCCTCGTCCGTCCTCTATCCTTTATTCTCCCTCCTCCATTCTTTATCCTCCACCTGTCATTCTCCATTTCGATTCTCCATCCTCTGTTTTCCATTCTCCACCCGCCATTCTCCATCCTCCTTCCTCCTTCCTCCTTCCTCCTTCCTCCTTCCTCCTCCATCTTCCATCCTCAATCCTTCATCCTCAATCCTCCATCCTCCATCATTGATCCTCCATCCTCCATCCTCCATCCTCCATCCTCCATCCTCCAGCCTCTTTCCTCCATCCTCCAGCCTCCATCCTTCATCCTCCATCCTCCATCCTCCATCCTCCATCCTTCATCCTCCATCCTCCATTTTCCATCCTCCATCCTCCATCCTCCATCCTCCATCCTCCAACCTCCATCCTCCATCTTCCATCCTCCATCCTTCATCCTCCATCCTCCATCCTCCATCTTTGATCCTCAATCCTCCATACCCCATCCACCATCCTCCAGCCTCCATCCTTCATCCTCCATCCTCCATCCTCCATCCACAATCCTCCATACTCTATCCTCCATCCTCAAACCTCCATCCTCGATCCTCCATCCTCCAACCTCCATCCTTCATCCTCCATCCTCCATCCTCCATCCTTCATCCTTCATCCTCCATCCTCCATCTAGGATCCTCCATCCTCCATCCCCCATCCTCCATCCTCCATCCTCCATCCTCCATCCTCCATCCCCCATCCTCCATCCTCCATCCTCCATCCTTCATCCTCCATCCTCAAACCTCCATCCTCCATCCTCCATCCTCCACCCCCATCCTCCATCCTCCATCCTCCATCCCCCATCCTCCATCCTCCATCCTCCATCCTCCATCCTTCATCCTCCATCCTCCATCTTCGATCCTCCATCCTCCATCCTCCAGCCTCCAGCCTCCAGCCTCCATCCTCCATCCTTCATCCTCCATCTTCCATCCTCCATCCTCCATCCTTCATCCTCCATCCTTCATCCTCCATCCTTCATCCTTCATCCTCCATCCTCCATCCTCCATCCTCCATCCCCCATCTTCCATCCTCCATCCTCCATCCCCCATCCTCCATCCTCCATCCTCCGTCCTCCATCCTTCATCCTCCATCCTCCATCCTCCATCTTCGATCCTCCATCCTCCATCCTCCATCCTCCAGCCTCCAGCCTCCATCCTCCATCCTTCATCCTCCATCTTCAATCCTCCATCCTCCATCCTTCATCCTCAATCCTCCATCCTCCATCTTCGATCCTCCATCCTCCATCCTCCATCCTCCAACCTCCATCCTCCATCCTCCATCCTCCATCCTCCATCCTTCATCCTCCATCCTCCATCCTCCATCCACCATCCTCCATCCTCCATCCTCCATCCCCCCTCTTCGATACTCCGTCCTCCATCCTCCAGCCTCCAGCCTCCAGCCTCCAGCCTCCATCCTTCATCTTCCATCTTCAATCCTCCATCCTCCATCCTTCATCCTCCATCCTCCATTTTCCATCTTCGATCCTCCATCCTCCATCCTCCATCCTCCATCCTCCATCCTCCATCTTCGATCCTCCATCCTCCATCCTCCATCCTCCAGCCTCCAGCCTCCATCCTTCATCCTCCATCCTCCATCCTCCAACCTCCATCCTCCATCCTCCATCCTCCATCCTTCATCCTCCATCCTCCATCCTCCATCTTCGATCCTCCATCCTCCATCCTCCAGCCTCCATCCTCCATCCTTCATCCTCCATCCTCCATCTTCGATCCTCCATCCTTCATCCTCCATCCTCCATCTTCGATCCTCCATCCTCCATCCTCCAGCCTCCAGCCTCCATCCTCCATCCTCCATCCTTCATCCTCCATCTTCAATCCTCCATCCTCCATCCTTCATCCTCCATCCTCCATCCTCCATCTTCGATCCTCCATCCTCCATCCTCCAACCTCCATCCTCCATCCTCCATCCTCCATCCTCCATCCTTCATCCTCCATCCTCCATCCTCCATCCTCCATCCTTCATCCTTCATCCTCCATCCTCCATCCTCCATCTTCGATCCTCCATCCTCCATCCTCCATCCTCCATCCTCCGTCCTTCATCCTCCATCCTCCATCCTCCAACCTCCTTCCTCCATGCTCCATCCTCCATCCTCCATCCTTCATCTTTCATCCTCCATCCTCCATCTTCGATCCTCCATCCTCCATCCCCCATCCTCCATCCACCATCCTCCATACCCCATCAACCATCCTCCAGCCATTCTTTATCCTCCACCTGTCATTCTCCATTTCGATTCTCCATCCTCTGTTTTCCATTCTCCACCCGCCATTCTCCATCCTCCTTCCTCCTTCCTCCTTCCTCCATCCTCCATCCTCCATCCTCCATCCTCCATCCTCCATCCACGCTCCTCCATCCTCAATCCTTCATCTTCCATTCTCCATCCTCCATCCTTCACCCTCCATCCTCCATCTTCCATCCTCAATCCTTCATCCTCAATCCTCCATCCTCCATCATTGATCCTCCATCCTCCATCCTCCATCCTCCATCCTCCATCCTCCAACCTCCATCCTTCATCCTCCATCCTCCATCCTCCATCCTTCATCCTTCATCCTCCATCCTCCATCTAGGATCCTCCATCCTCCATCCCCCAACCTCCATCCTCCATCCTCCATCCTCCATCCTCCATCCCCCATCCTCCATCCTCCATCCTCCATCCTTCATCCTCCATCCTCAAAACTCCATCCTCCATCCTCCATCCTCCACCCCCCATCCTCCATCCTCCATCCTCCATCCCCCATCCTCCATCCTCCATCCTCCATCCTCCATCCTTCATCCTCCATCCTCCATCCTCCATCTTCGATCCTCCATCCTCCAGCCTCCAGCCTCCAGCCTCCAGCCTCCATCCTCCATCCTTCATCCTCCATCTTCCATCCTCCATCCTCCATCCTTCATCCTCCATCCTCCATCCTCCATCCTTCATCCTTCATCCTCCATCCTCCATCCTCCATCCTCCATCCCCCATCTTCCATCCTCCTTCCTCCATCCCCCATCCTCCATCCTCCATCCTCCATCCTCCATCCTTCATCCTCCATCCTCCATCCTCCATCTTCGATCCTCCATCCTCCATCCTCCAGCCTCCATCCTCCAGCCTCCATCCTCCATCCTTCATCCTCCATCTTCAATCCTCCATCCTCCATCCTTCATCCTCCATCCTCCATCCTCCATCCTCCATCTTCGATCCTCCATCCTCCATCCTCCAACCTCCATCCTCCATCCTCCATCCTCCATCCTCCATCCTTCATCCTCCATCCTCCATCCTCCATCCACCATCCTCCATCCTCCATCCTCCATCCTCCCTCTTCGATCCTCCGTCCTCCATCCTCCAGCCTCCAGCCTCCAGCCTCCATCCTCCATCCTCCATCCACCATCCTCCATCCTCCATCCTCCATCCTCCCTCTTCGATCCTCCGTCCTCCATCCTCCAGCCTCCAGCCTCCAGCCTCCATCCTCCATCCTTCATCCTCCATCCTCCATCTTCGATCCTCCATCCTTCATCCTCCATCCTCCATCCTCCATCTTCGATCCTCCATCCTCCATCCTCCAGCCTCCAGCCTCCATCCTCCATCCTCCATCCTTCATCCTCCATCTTCAATCCTCCATCCTCCATCCTTCATCCTCCATCCTCCATCCTCCATCTTCGATCCTCCATCCTCCATCCTCCAACCTCCATCCTCCATCCTCCATCCTCCATCCTCCATCCTTCATCCTCCATCCTCCATCCTCCATCCTCCATCCTCCATCCTTCATCCTCCATCCTCCATCCTCCATCTTCGATCCTCCATCCTCCATCCTCCATCCTCCATCCTCCGTCCTTCATCCTCCATCCTCCATCCTCCAACCTCCTTCCTCCATCCTCCATCCTCCATCCTCCATCCTTCATCTTTCATCCTCCATCCTCCATCTTCGATCCTCCATCCTCCATCCCCCATCCTCCATCCACCATCCTCCATACCCCATCAACCATCCTCCAGCCATTCTTTATCCTCCACCTGTCATTCTCCATTTCGATTCTCCATCCTCTGTTTTCCATTCTCCACCCGCCATTCTCCATCCTCCTTCCTCCTTCCTCCTTCCTCCATCCTCCATCCTCCATCCTCCATCCTCCATCCTCCATCCACGATCCTCCATCCTCAATCCTTCATCTTCCATTCTCCATCCTCCATCCTTCACCCTCCATCCTCCATCTTCCATCCTCAATCCTTCATCCTCAATCCTCCATCCTCCATCATTGATCCTCCATCCTCCATCCTCCATCCTCCATCCTCCATCCTCCAACCTCCATCCTTCATCCTCCATCCTCCATCCTCCATCCTTCATCCTTCATCCTCCATCCTCCATCTAGGATCCTCCATCCTCCATCCCCCAACCTCCATCCTCCATCCTCCATCCTCCATCCTCCATCCCCCATCCTCCATCCTCCATCCTCCATCCTTCATCCTCCATCCTCAAAACTCCATCCTCCATCCTCCATCCTCCACCCCCCATCCTCCATCCTCCATCCTCCATCCCCCATCCTCCATCCTCCATCCTCCATCCTCCATCCTTCATCCTCCATCCTCCATCCTCCATCTTCGATCCTCCATCCTCCATCCTCCAGCCTCCAGCCTCCAGCCTCCATCCTCCATCCTTCATCCTCCATCTTCCATCCTCCATCCTCCATCCTTCATCCTCCATCCTCCATCCTCCATCCTTCATCCTTCATCCTCCATCCTCCATCCTCCATCCTCCATCCCCATCTTCCATCCTCCTTCCTCCATCCCCCATCCTCCATCCTCCATCCTCCATCCTCCATGATGGAGGATGAAGGATGAAGGATGGAGGAAGGAGGATGGAGGATGAAGGATGGAGGTTGGAGGATGGAGGATGAAGGATGGAGGATGGAAGATGGAGGATAGA